AAAAAAAAAAAAGAAGAGTTACAGATGTACGGACGCGCTTGAAACTTTCTTCCGCGGGGATTTTTGTATAAAAATCTCTCTCGGCCGAGCGCTCACGTGAATTATTGTACATCTTTCGCTTCCCCGCGAGTATGTATAATACATGCAGGGAATTGATGATTAGATGCTTGTATATATAATAGATATCGTACACAACAGCGCGCGTTTCGTGGATGTATATAATTACAACGCGGGTCCATAACGCGTGTACACATATATATATATGTAAGCGTGTAGTGTTTCGAGACGAGAGCGCACGGAGCCGCTCGTTCAGTTTAAAACATCGATAATTTCTCGCGACTAAGCACTTCATTAAGAGGCTTAAACTATATACATATACTTACAATATAAGTAGGGAGAGAGGGAGAGAGGGGTGCTGCAGCCCTTACTCCTCACCTTATACATAAATGGTTGAGTGTTAATACCTTATGAAAGGTAAATACTAAATACACCATATGATATAAAAAAAAAAACACACACACACACACCCAACCTATGCATTATTGTATATGTATTACTACTTTTAACAATAAAAAGAAGAAAATAAACCCTACTGTGAGCATCATCTCATCGTAAATGAGTTGTCACTATGTAAAAACCGTAAGGCATCCTTGATGTATAGCTATTTAGAGGTTTATGTATTACGGAGGATCGGCTATTAACATTATCCAAATAACAAGAGTGTAAATACCTCATACGGGGTAACCACACTATAATATATAATAAAAAAAAAAAAAGTATACGCAAGAGTGTTGAGAAGTGCGAGTACATGGGCTGATGATCGATCCTTGAGTATAATTGTCTGTGTGCCTCTAAAGACACTACACTACTTATCATAATTATGGAGATTATCTTTTCCTTTATAAGTACATTGTAGGTAGGTGGCAAAATTAATTTTTCTCATTGTATACCCTTGCTGCATGAAATAGTGATTTTGACACCGCGTCGCGTTATCATGAAGCAGATAAGTATAAAGGCAGTGACTTTCCGTAAGCATTTTGATGATTGCAATAGGATTTCAGTTAATTTTTATGATTGATGATAATAATGCGTGTGTTAGATATTGACACGTGCATATATATATATATATATATAGCTGCGCGTTCGATCCGAGCATACTTCCAAGTTCGCGGTATCCTTCCTGCTCTGCTTGGGTTTCTCTCACACCCTTACTCTCTATGTATATAATGTCCAATGCAACCGAGCATCATCAACCAAGTCTCGAGTATGCATATACCGTAAGCCAGTGCTCGGTAACGTGTACAGCTAGAAATTATTACACGNTTTTTTTTTTTTTTTTTTTTTTTTTTTTTTTTTTTTTTTTTTTTTTTCATCCACGTCCTAATTATTTTTGTACTAATTATACACAGATGTTAGAAATATATAGGACGCGTGTGTTTCAAGCTTTGGTACTTAAATGAGGAAATAAATGAGTGTACGAGCAGCTTCGAAATACATGATCGAAAATGTAAGACGATACGGGCGGATGGATGATGTTAACATGTACTTGTTACAATAGATTCAAAGAAAAACATATAATAGCAGGCAATTACCTAAGTACCCTATGATGAAAGAAAAACATTATTCTTACTGTGCTGTGTCTTGTTAGTCCCGAATATTCTTCATCATTTTGATATCGAAGACACTAGTGCAGCATCTCGTTGATGCACGTTCCCAAAGGAATATAAAATACTACCCACAAAATGTAACAAAGAAAAAATAAAAACACTTGAAGATAAAAATAATAATAATAAAAAAAAAAAAAAGTTATGCACAAAACTCAGAGCAATATATGCTCTAAGGCACAAAACAGTGTGAAACAACACACCACAGCCCTCTGATCTCTGCAGCGTAAATATCACGCAGTGCAGGCATCATTTACGGCAGCAGAGCAGCTTCACTTGTACTTATATATATATAGTTTAACGAAACGCTATCCGCAAACCGCGAATGCGCAAAACTGTATGAAGTACTTGTAACACGCGAACTGCTCCTCCTATACGCACTTCTTAAGATTACGCAGATAATATACAATTACTAACGGCACGAGCGAAATAAGAGTATTACCTACTGAGTAAGTAAGGTTTTTTGTCCCAATCTCAGAGGCGCAGGCCGCGCAGCAGCATTAAAAAACAAACTTAACAAAACCCCTGCAACCCCTGTAATGCGCGATGGGCGACGGTGGTGAACTGGTGAATGATATGCTGCACTTCACAGCGCGAGTACCATTGAGGATATAGGTATAAGGACTATGAGGAGAGTGAGAAGGTAACTGAGGATCCGAGAGACTCAAATACTGATTATGTACTGAGTTGTGAATTCAGCGGTGCGGCTATACATACATCCAATTGTTATAAAACTAATACTATATGTGCAATTACACTACTACGAATACGTACAGTGAATAAAACTACACTAGCAGACAAACAGACTTTGATACGATTCGTATTACGAATTTACGAATTTACGAATACGAATTACGAACTTGAGTATAATATATACGAACATTACGAACATTAAGAACATGAATTTAACACATGCATTTTGTATTTGGTGTGATACATATATATATATACAATATACATATACGCTATACGCCCACGCATGCGTGGCCGCGCATTTGTGTAAAAACAGTAAAACCATAGAGATCTATGAGTAAAACACACACGTATACATTTAGTGTGTAGTAGTGTGACAGTATGTGTGTATAGTATACAACACATATATATGTAAGGAAAAAACATATACACATATTGGGTCGATCAGCGAAAATATGGCGGCTTGAATCGCGTGTGTGTGCTCGTGCTCCGCTGCCTCCGTTTCTGCTGCAGCATAAAGATGAAAAACTGCTGATGGCCAACAAACCCTGAAGATGCAGGGTTGCACAACTTTTACTTCCTAAAGTACGCCCACCTTAAACAAAACTTTGTTCTCGTGAACGTGAGAGTGGATACTGGGTGGTGTCTGCCCTGGTTGAGTTGGATTGGAGCTTGGACTGCTGGGCTGGGGGAGCAGAGCTTCATTATAGAGATTATATACATAGGGGGGAAAAAAAACTAGAAGGCCAGAGTGTGTTCGCAAGAGGTAGAAAGTGGGGGATAAAAAAAGGAGTTTTGAGATCAAGAGAGAGATAAATATTAATGTGGTTGCGGTACTTATAACAACATGTGTAATTTGCGTACAGTAATACACGCGCTTGGGTTGTTCCCCGGGGACCCCCCACCTGGACGCCGTTACTATTAGTTGTTGTCTAGGCACGTGTTTACTTACTCTGTGAAGATTTTAGTGTTAACTTAATTCATCCAACACTTTTGTTAGTAACTATATACCTACACCAAGTGCCAAGTAAAAGAAGATACAAGTGTTGTACAAACATGACGTTGGGCAGAACAATCACGGCTGCAGTCATCCCGATTCACCTTGCCCTTGTATCCACAAAGAACCCGGTTCCTAAGCTACAGCATCTGGAGCAGTTCACAAATGTGCAATATCTAATAGTCATACAATAAAGTCCGTCTCTCCTCGAGGTAGCTTATCTTCGTGTGTTGGATAGTTGTTAACGGGAGGCATCAGCAGCTTATTACGCTTATCATCGACTTGAATTACTACTTACTTCTTTTTTCGTTTGTTTATTTATATACACTTACGAAGCAGTATTCTATAGTGGTGTAAAAAAGGCAATACACCGCGATAGGGTAAGCATATACCCAACCAAGTGGTGATTGTAGCTGCAGTTGGTGCTCGTGATCGTTCGAATGCTCGGATTTCCAAGCCACGACGAAGGCTGAAAAGGCCAAGGAGGAGTACTTAGCTTATATTTACACAGGAGCAGTAATAGCATTATCAGGACACGGAGCCAAGGAACGGTAGAAGGAGGGAGCCCCCCGGCGCCAAACAAGACTGCTAGAAAATGCTGAAACAATTGCAGATGGGGATGAGAGCTTTTCTCTTGATGGCCTCCCGTGTGTGGACCTGCATTTGTTTTATACTCAGGAAGCAGGTTAGAGCCGTAAGTAGGTGCTTCAGCACCTGTGCACCCACTTGTATTAATACGTACAAAAATTTAAAAAATGGACAATTTGACCAGACATGACTATATTTTTTTTTCTTATTTTTTCAGATTTCACAAATGCAACCAGTCAAATATGAAATTTTTCCTCTCTCTCCACTGTCAAGGCACAGGCTCAGTAAATATTTTTCTTTTTTAAACTTATGTATCCTTTTCCTCTTTTTTTTTATCTCTCATAAAATACATACACTTGATTTAAAAAAATAATGTATGAGAGTTATAACGTTCTCAGACTTATTCTTTGCCATTTGTTTTAAAGAATTGAAAATTATTATTTACTCTTGGAGCACTTCCAAAATACTGCATGAAGAGGGAAGACAGATATATTAGGAAATGACTAAAAATTTCGTAGTATTCTATAGATCAGTTAATTACATAAAGGTGTCGACACTTACGTAATATTTTTATGAAATGTTTATAATTTTTCAGGCATTGTTAGGAGGAAAGTGCTTGTGCTTGATTTGGATGAGACACTCATTCATTCTCATCACGATGGAGTTGCTAGGACAACAGTCAGGCCTGGCACTCCACCTGACTTTATTCTTAAAGTGACGATAGACCGTCATCCGGTTAGATTTTTTGTTCACAAAAGACCGCACGTTGACTTCTTTTTGGACATAGTTAGTCAGTGGTGAGTAGTTTTTTTTAGATCACGATGAGCCTCCTCATTAATTTCACCTTTACAGGATTTTCATTTAATTCATTATTTCAGGTATGAATTGGTAGTTTTCACTGCTTCAATGGAAATTTATGGTGCTGCTGTTGCTGACAAATTAGACAACAACAGAGGAATACTAAGACGCAGGTACTATAGGCAACACTGCACGCCTGAAATGGGTTCCTATACTAAAGACTTGGCTGCCATTTGCTCAGATCTCGCTTCAGTCTTTATTCTGGACAATAGCCCCGGGGCTTATAGAGCTTATCCACGTAAGTCTTGTCATACAAATTTTCTACTTGTATAAATCATAAGTTGTAGTGATTAACTCCGAATCAAAATTTTTTTTATCACAGATAACGCAATCCCTATCAAATCATGGTTTAGTGATGCAGGCGATACAGCGCTTTTAAGCTTACTTCCAGTGTTAGATGCTCTTCGTTTCACACAAGACGTTCGGTCCGTTCTTTCGAGGAATTTACACTTGCATCACACCTGGTAGCATACTTTTGCTGCATCGTTTTAATTAAAAAACAAAACAAAAAAGGAAAGAGATGGACTGGTGTCGTCTAGGCTACATGCGACTTAAGATATGCGCGCTCGTGTCGCAGAATCATTGACGAGTTTCATCGTCATTGAAATAGATAGACGTATGCCCGGATGTGACGCTAAGCACGCCCAATACACTTTTGCATCAGTGAAGATTCCTTGATCAACGTGAAGGCTTCTCGGCACAAAACATCAATTTCTCTCTCTCTCTCTGGATCCACTGTTTTTCTTTTTTTTTGGCTTCGACATAGGAATGTTGTTCCGCAGAAATCGCTGCTCAATCGTGCATCAGCCAAAGATTCAATTTTTTGCTCTACTCTCAATTAAAAAAAATCACGAGTTGAAATATTTGTTTTGTTACAACTTGCCAAATATACTTTTTTGTGCCTGTTTTTTTTTTGACCCCAAGTATGGCTATTTTTGTGTATTTTTTTTTTTTTAGATATGTCACTGTAAAAAGCTCATGCAAGAGAGAGACTGTAATCTCCAAGTACAATGCTCTTATTACAATTGTACATTGTTTGATTGGATGGTTAAATAAGTTGCGGTGATTCACTGTATCAGTGAAGCACAGCTAGTTTGATTATATTATCTATGCGAAAGATATTAATAAAATGAATAAATAATTCAATCCAAGATGAATTAATTTTGATTGAATATTACGATTGTGAAGATGACATAAGATATAATAATAAGTATAATTGGAAATCATTAGTAGCAATCATTAGCATGGTGTGTAAATATCAGGGATGTACTCGTGTAGAGAATGAATGATTCTTATTAGTAAGTTTAAAAAGCAACTGAAGATATAGTTGGGAATTATAGAATGGAATGTGTGAATAATAGATGTACACGTGCGCATAATTTTGCGCATTATATTTGAAACTTGAGTCGGACGTGAACAAATGATGCAAGAAAAAAAATAGCCGGTTCGAAATTATTTTTGTTGCAAGATTTATGGCGTTTGTTATTTATACAAAAAATACTAATTTTTTTTTTTTTTGATAAATATTCTCATTAATGTTTTAATAAACAAGTTTTTTAACAGCTGTTTATAACCCTCCCGTTTTTACTAATTTGTTTCTNTTTTGGCTCTTTGATGAATAACAGATGATAAAGAAATTTATTTAATCATGAGACATAAATTGCTGAAAATAAATTTTTTTTTGACACGTATCTAATTTTATCAAAATATATCTTTATCAAGTTTATTCATTTTTTCAGTATTTGACGTATTTTATTTCCAAAAACTAAGACGAAAAAAAAAAAAGTAATTTTTTCAAGGACACAAGAAATATTTTGATACAACTATGTATACAAAAACATTGAACTTCATCATGGCTATGAGATATTGTGACACCGAATTGAATTGTATAAAATACAATATGTATTCTATTTATATTGTATTGTTTATTTAGAATAAAAAGCAAGAGTTTTATTTTTTTCCACTTTCTTTATTCCAATTTACCTTTGGTCAAGAAAAACACAAAGTATTGGAATACATTTCTTATCAATAAGACAGATATGCATAATTCAAAAAAAAAAAAAAAAAAAACATAGCCCAACACTTATTTTTATAACACACCCAGTTCACACGTATAAAATATCTCAAACTAGAAAACAAGTTTCACTCCTTTATTATCATTTGTGTCGCACAATCTTGTGTATTTCTCTGGAATAGCAATCATTACTCAATGAAAATGCTAAAATAAAAGAGAATAGTCCATATTTTAAAACAGTCCAGCAATTTCATTCTTTGGGAGGATCCTCTCGAATCATTTCTAAAGAACTATCGGAATTATTGGTACTGCTACCACTACCGGCGTCATCTTCTCTTTCAGTAGTTTTCTCTTGGCCTTGACTTGACGCTTCTAATTGCCAAGGAGGAATGGAAGCTGGCGCACTTGGAAACTGTTTCCTAAATTTTTTTTTTTTTTAATTGTATGAACTTTGGTACCTGATAATTTTTCATACAGAAATTGCAGCAAAGTAAAAATTACCTTGACAATAGAAGCGACTTTAAACTTGCCAAGTCTTGTTTCAATTCTTGTACAAGTTGAGGTACTGACGGATCATTTTGGTTTTGTGTCAGCTGCTGGACATCACTTTTGACTTGATTTATGGATTCCTTCACCTGTTGGATATTTTTGTCCAATTCAACAGCAGGATCCTTGGCATCTTTTTTCTTATCACCAAATAAAAATCTAATGATAACTTTCTGTAAAAGAATAATTCACTATTACGAATTGATATCTTAATATGACAATAGACGAATACAAAACCTACCTTGTAAAACCAGTATACACAGTAACAGCTCGCTGCAAACAACACCACTCCATTCAACAACTCTTTAACTTTATAAAACAAACTTGACTGAACCACTTGCTGTGGATAATTCAAGTATGGATGATTCGGTGGTACATTTACAATACTGTGATCCCCCGTAGGTACTGGATTTGCTGCCACAAGTTCACATGCCCTCTGAATTTCAACATCTGTCAATCCTTTGCGCCTAAGGAACTCTTGTTTCTGACTTGAAGGACTAGTAGCTACCTTTGGATTTTGCAAAAACTTGACGGCTGTGTTTACCTGCAGGATCATGAAGAAATCGTTTCTACAATTTGAATATTTTTTTTCAATAAAACTCCAAGTTTTAACAATTTAAAGCCCAATATTCCAACAACACTCAAGTATTTAATATTGTAAAAATTGATCTTGATAGTTATTAACCTCCACTTTGAGCAAGATAAAGTCCAATGACTATGCTTTAATATTTCCTTATAGTTTTTCATTAGAGGTGTAAAGCTGTTTCGCAGATAACGAAAAAGTGAAATCTAGATTAGTATGTATCATTCAACGAGTTTAAATATCAAAAGTCATTCTTTGCTCGGGGAATTGATTGAGTGAGGGAGAGAGAGAGAGAGAGAGAAACATGCAGATTACTGGCAAAAACAAAATTCAGTCGTAAAGTGTTTGTCACCCACACATAACGATGCTGCACCATCATCTTGCTTATCAATAATTTGAATGTAAAATCGTCAACAATCAAGATTTATAACGTACTCACACGTAGCAAAGGAAATAAATGAGTAAAAAACGTCATGCGAGTGAAAAGAGTGTCAAGTACTTATAATAATTGTTACTCACGAGATTTTCTCGCAGAGCGACGACCTGATCTTCCATCCTATCCTATTTATCTATTTCTGTATTTTACACGAGAGCGCGCACACACACACTCCAGAGACTCCGGAACAATTTTGTTTTTACTATTATTGTTATTATCCTTGGACGAAACTCTCTGCCAACAATAATATACAATAAGCAGTTGCAGAGCAAGGCGAACTCACTCTATGATACTCTCACGTGAAAAAAAGCCGCATGATTATGCAATGCACGCGCTCTGACTCCTTTTTTTTATGTATTCCAGCATCGGTGACGGCTCGATGTGCAAATTTGTTCAAAACATATCCAACGGACGAGGGGGATATATTTTTTTCCAAGCAAAAAAAAAAAAATACCTACAGAAGAGGAGGGAAGACACACGATGAGATATATCCTCTTGTTGAGGCCTGAAAACACTGACTGTTTTTATTAGGGCGCGCGCACTAACAACTTCTTTTTTTTGCTTCTATTCAATTTAAGTATTCCTCTCACTTTGCGAATTTAGAATTATGTGCGGAAATATGTAGCTGTTACGACTTCCAACTTACAACAGTTACAACCACTGCGAACTTATATTTAATGTAAATAAATAATACTTACCTATAGTTCGCTTTGTCTTTCTAATTTGTTTGCAAATTTACGAAGTGGTCCAGTTAGGAGCTGCTAAAATATTGCAATTGCAAAATATATGAATCGCACGATTTATTAAGTAGCGCTGACTTTTGAATTTTAGGATTTTCGATGAACGAAAAATGTTTAAGTATACGGTTTATATTGCGTTTGTACATAGAGGAAGTTTGGTAATGGACGAAAAATCACATATACTTATCTAGATAGAATTTTTTTTCTTAAATTTAAATTTTATCAATCAAAAAAAAAATTTTTTTTCTAAATAATTTATTTTTCGCCTTTTCTTGTCATTTAAGAATAATTTATGATCAGTAAATCTAATAGTTCATTTAATTTTGTACACAAAATATGATTATCAAACTTTAAAAATAATGAGGGTGTATGTGGGTGTTTATGTGCATCCATATATGATTCTCAGAGGATTCCGTTAACGGGTTTTTATAAACCTCAGTTTTTTTTTTATAATTGATGGATGCCTAAGAGAAAAATTTCCTATTATACCGATGAACGCTGAAAACAATTTTTTTTAAAGTTAAAAATCAATCGATGAAATTGAATTTTGTTCCTATTTTAAAAAATCGACTTCTCCGAAAAAAATAATTTTTTTGTATTTTTACGCCGATTTTGGATATTTAATGTTAAAGAATCTAAGAACTGAAAAACCTCATGATTTGAAGAGATCCAAAATATTTTGTCGTAAGTATTCCATTATGGTAAAGAGTTATGTGGGTATTTAAGTAGTGCCATATAGTAAATTATGTAAAAACAGCCGCAATTCATAACAACGGATAGAAAAAAACAACATTTTCTAATGAAAATGTCATTTTCGGCATGATTAAAATTTATTATGTACTATACCCGAAAATCGACCTCCGATTACATAGATACTCTAATTTTATCTATAACCTTATCTATTATCTTAGATGATTTGTAACTAAGATGAGCGTCAGATAAGTGGTGCAGTTGAAATTCTGATGAAAGAAAGGTCATTTTTTCTCCTTTATTTGATCTAAAAATGACCGCAACCTCCGTCCATGCACCAAAATATTGTTAAAAAATAGATTAGCAAAGTTGCGACAGGTATTGTTATTATGTAGGGGCGTCTATTTTTTGGAGATCAATTTTCGGGTAGTAAAAAAATTTTAATCTTGCTTTAAATGGCACTTGCTTGTGAAATCTTTTAATTTTCTATCTATTGGTTTCGGTTGCAGCTGGTATGTTGTATTGACAACATGGCACTTCTTTAACACCAACAAAACTCTTCACCAGAAAACCAAAATGAAATAAGTAAGTAGGACAAAATTATTTGGGATCTCCTCGAATTTTACGAGGTTTCTGCTCATAGAAAATTTGCGGCAGTAATTTTTTGTTATATACTTTTGAAGCCTGGAACGAGCCTTGTTTATTAAACGCGGAGACGCGGACCGTGGAGTGCAGTACTGCGGTCGTGTCAAGTGTTGTTTTGTGTTTTCCTGTCGTTATCGTTAGTCGCTGGCAACACTGCGAATCTTGACTTTACTTACCTTATTTAATTTATTCAAAGGTTTGTGGTCAATTATTTGAAAAAGTAATAATTTCGTAAAAAAAAAAATTAATAATACTAATAATAAGGGTCTGTAGTACTGAGTACAGATTTAACAGATTGTGTGTGACATGTAAATTGTGTATCTTGAACCTATTGGAATACCGTATACTACTTGCGGCTTGGTTAAAGCTAAGCTAAGGGGCACCGCCTTTACTTTCTTTCTCTCCCACTCACAATCTCCCTACACTGTATACTGAATTCACTGACGTATACTCTCTGTTTATAGGTTTTCCTATTACCCTCGATTTGTCAGCTACTCATCTCTGACTCCACATTTCCACAACAACTTAGACAAAATTATCATTAGGTAGTAGGTAGTAGGTACTCAGAATTGGATCGAATGGTGTATATTTTTTTAAGGCGTGTATACCTACATGATCATCGTGTGATAGTGTGCTGAAGTCGATATTTTTTTTCTGGCTTGCGCGAAAACGCATAAGTGTACATTCTGTATATACATATATTCATTTATATGATTCACGGGGGGAGAGAACACATGAGAGCTCCGATCGCCCCGATATGAGCGGGGGCCCGCCTACTGATTACAATTAACTTGTACAGGATTTTACAATACTCACTCTCATGTATCATTAATCTTGCAACAAGTTCAGTTTATCTGTGCACGGGTTTTAAGATTTGTTACATTTTTTTTTCCCACAAGCGAGTCTCTAACGGGAGTGAGTGTCTTCTTCTGGCGTTGAAGATTTCCCACGCTGATAACATTCTATCCTATACTTACTTCCTTTGACGTTTAAGTTCAATATCCCGTGTTTTCTTCTTAACTCTCTTCTACTGCTGGGCTCCGATTTCTTAACACTCCAGTTATAATCGAACTTAACGCCTATTGCTGTTTTTTTTTTTTGTTTGGTCTACAAAAAATAGCGTACTTGACTCTTTTTGTCTTTAGTTATTTCGCAGAATATTCATTTAAGATGTCTAAGAAGCCAGGAGCCGCTCAGGCTCTGCACAAAGTTATAATGGTTGGAAGTGGAGGTGTTGGAAAGTCGGCCCTTACACTGCAATTCATGTATGACGAGGTTTGTAGATTTTGATACAAATTGCATATTAAACATTGTTTTTTAAAAGGATAATGAGGTGCGTGTTTGTTAGCGTGTTGTACATGTAAGTTAAGTAATCCCTTTTTTTGCAGTTTGTCCAAGACTACGAGCCCACCAAGGCTGATTCGTACAGGAAAAAAGTTGTTCTCGATGGGGAAGAAGTACAAATAGATATCTTAGATACAGCTGGACAGGAAGATTATGCTGCTATAAGAGATAATTATTTTAGGAGTGGAGAGGGCTTTTTGTGCGTATTTTCTATAACAGAGGACGATAGTTTTCAAGCAACGCAAGAATTCAGGTATTGTAAATTACTTAGCAACTTTTTAAGACTTCAATATGCATTACAACACAGCTTTTTCAAACTTTTGTACTATCATTAGAATACACGCGAATCATGCATTTTAAAATGTATATTTCATTAGATAACATTATCAACCTTAAACACTTTTTTTTACACTGATGATTCCAAAATGTATTTGCTGGAAACCTATATTTTTTATTTAAAAAATTCACTCTAATCATTAAGAGCTAAAGAGATATGATATTAGTATTTATTTTTCAGAGAACAAATTTTGCGAGTAAAGAATGATGAAAACATTCCTTTTTTACTTGTGGGAAACAAAAGTGACTTACAAGATAAAAGAAAAGTTAGTCTGACAGAAGCACAAGGAAGATCACAACAGTGGGGTGTCCCATATGTAGAAACTAGTGCCAAAACTAGAGAGAACGTTGACAAGGTAAAATTATACATTATGCATCCTATTTTGTGATGTCTTTTATCCGATTGATGTATATGTATGAATATTGCTTGAAAAATGGGCACTCGAAAAAATATATGTGTAGGTAGTAGAATTAGTGTTGTATGATTCTTAGATATATAAGTACACGAGCTTTAAAGTAATTGCTGCAACAAGTCTTGGAGTTATGCACGCATGAAAATTAAACAATTGAGGTGAACCAGTTTTATTTTAGCATCTTGATTTGAATGCTTGAACATAGCAACACTTGCACATTTTCAGGTATTTTTCGACTTGATGCGTGAAATACGATCACGTAAAATTGAAGATAAGTCTGCGAGTAACGGCAGAGGCAAGGACCGAACAAAAAGGAAGAAACGGAAGTGTATTATTCTATAGGTTCGCTATTATTGGCACTTATTTTCATTTGATACATCACTGATGGTTTTGCATTCAAACATGGCTTTTGCATCAGCTAGAAAGTAGCATGTCCTTATAAATTAAATAACGTAACAATTTTTCGTTCTATTATCTATTATTGACACTAGTACCACTGGTTTAATAATTTGATATTCATTAATTGATGCATACGAAATTTTTTTTTTCTATGTGTTACTAAAATTTATTACCTATTATGATGTATGTGTTAAATATATGCTATTGTTATCGTGATTAATATTGAAAAATCGTATTAGTTGTATAGTACAAGTTACAAACAAATGAACATTAAAATCATACTCTCGTTTACAGGTATTTTTTGACCTTATGCGCGCCATTGCTGCTCGCAAAGCTCAAGAAAATCAAGGAGAGGCAGGGGAAGGTAGGAAAAAAGCAAAGTGCTGCAATATTCTTTAACATAAATGCAGTGCAGCTTGGTGGCCAATCAAACGTGTCTACGGAAGGGCACAAATTAATTAATAAAATCTCGACAATTAATCGTAACAAGCGATACATGCGATGACATTAATGAAATAAAATGCACATACACGTTTTCATTGGCAGCTCCTTTCTGCTCGTAGTGACAAATTACTTTGGCAATACGTTTCATCATTCATTTCGCCTACATTGTCACTCTTTGTCAGAAAAAAAAAAAAAAAAAAAAAAAAAAAAACCAGACAAGTGAAACCGTGAAAACGTCGCACAAAATTTCTTTCAAATTTTTTTTCTAAAGTGTTTATATTGTGTTAATTATTAGTTTTAGTTATTTTTACCAATTGAGTTGAAAAGTGTTTTTTTGATGAACATTAAAAAATAATATATACATATATATTATGTTTGACAATAATCAAAATTATTTATTACTTATATGTGCACGATAGAAATATATTACTGCCGATAAATTTTAATATTACTACAACTATTTCTTTAGTTCTTATCTTTATTTTCTTTCTCATCCAATTATATTACTTGTAAAATACTTAAGCTTATTTGTTACTGAAGTTAATGTTAAGTCAAATACAGTAATAGGATTTATAAGTACATTTATTTCATTATTTTTATAAATAAATTTCACCTGTCTGTGTATCATTACTATCGAAGAAAAAAATGTTTTCAATAAACACAAGCTTTCAATTGTAAATTGTAACTCACAAGCTTATAACATTAATTGTCTATATAGTTTACAAGTTCCTAGATATATGGAAAAGGCTTGAGATCTGTTTGCAAGATTAATAATGGAGTGGCAAATATTTTGAATTTGAATCAAATACTTCTCTACAAAATTTTTTACTCTTGTGCAATTCACAGTTCTGAGAAATATTAAAAACTACAGTTTTGTAAAATTAAGTATGTGAGATCAGTCACAATTATACATAAGAATAAACAGACTGAAAATTAAAAAAAATAGCTTATAGCGTAAAAATAAAATAAGGCTAATGCACCTCTGCGAGGTCATGTAGGGTCTTTGTAACGTTATTTTCCAGACTTTTTCATTATAAATTACGAATAGGTGGTATAATTATTTAACACAGAAAAATTTAGTTGAACTAAAAAATATTCAGCTATGTTGTAATAGCTGAATAGCCGTTTGTATAGAACAGATCTCGCCATATGCTTGAGTTTTATATTTTTATAATCTTGCAAATTGTGCCTTTATAAATTTTGTGAATTGTACGTAAAAATTGCTTAATATACTTTAATTAAACATTTTAACTATCTAATTAGTTAAGTAAGTAGTATCTCTGTCAAATATATATTATTTGTCACCAAAATTTTTTTTGCTTAGTGATTAACTTAAAAAAAGGTGTAATTACCTATCATATAAACGAGTTTGTGTAAAACTTTGTTATCATACTAGGTGTAAAAAAAAAACATTTTATAAACTTACGATTTCGTTAAAATGCATTTCGTAAAATAAATGTATATACAAAACGTTGAAAAATTTATTCGTAATTTCCAATAAAAAACGTGCAACATACCATCATACCATATGTATACATGTTGCACGTTATAGGAACATATTAACATATATGTACAATTACGCATGTTTTGCGTCATGAAATTTCGATCATTGGAGTACTCCAAAAACACAGAACGTATCACACGTACTCGCACATGTGACCACAACCAGTGGGACACTGCTTGTTAACGCTAAACCAATCTCTCAAGTGAGCCAGGTGGCCACCGTGAGCACACGCCTGACACCAAACGTATGTTCCTTTGACAACCTATTTTTTAAAAACACTCATTTCAATAACATTCATTATGAGCAATAACGTTTTTATTCTTACGTTAAATATTTTACCTGATGGCAAATTGTGCACAGGGCGTGATTGGATGAACGACATCGATCGCACACCCACGCCGAGCGTGTCAGTGCTTTCGTACATAATGTACAACATACATAAACTGTCGTCGATTGTTGATTGAGTTGAGAAATGGAAGGTAGCCACGCTTGTCTTATGATCTGAAACATTGCATCAAGTTTTAAAACACCTGACTCGAGTTAGTTTTTAGAAATTAAATTGCGCTCTCACTCTTGTAGCCACTTCCCACAGCCTGAATCTTCCGAGCATGTCCAAGTACTCGAACAGCCAGTGCTCCTGCAAAGGCGGTTCGATGTTGAGATTTTTCCTCTTGTCGCCCAACGCCATCAAAATGCAAACCGTCGTCTGGATATCTTTCATGTCAGCGTGATGTCTCAGCGTATCCTCGATCAAGCTCGTGGGATCCCAAAAAGCCGGCTTTGGAACGGATGTCACGAGGAACTGACAGGGTTGGTTATCGATTGACACCGAGACCAAGTCATCGTTAATATCCGGCGAGTGATTGGGAAACTGCTCCGGCGGAGGTGACCTGTTCTGTATCTCGTGCCTGATGGGGAAGGCTTCTTTCGGCAAGGACCAGTCGTTGTCATTGTCCTCGTGGATAATCATGTTGTCAACAAAGCCCGAATTGTACTCTATCGTCAGTGGCTCGAGTTCGCTTTCCCCGAATGAGAAATCGCCCTTTGGTTGGCGCTTATAGGCCGACGTCGGTTTGTCGCGGCTCGTTATGAACGGTCCTATGAAATTTTGGTTCTCCGGAGGCTCGTCCATCTCGGTCTCGTCGTCACCGCCGCTCACCATGCCTAGGGCCGACTCGCCTTGCAATGATTTTATATCGTTTTCGAAATCTGGAAAATAGGACCGGTTGAGTCTGAAATAACAATTCTTCAATAACCCATGATAAACTATAAATTTTACCCGTACTTGTTTGTTCACTGGTATTGCCGATTGTCATCGGTATATTTAATGTGCTGGCTATATCATTGTCGGATATCGGACGCTTTGACGTGGTGCTGTTATTGTTATTATTACTGTTGCTGTTGATATTGCTTCCAAATGGATTTTTGAAGCAAGTTTTAATGATACTCCATACAGTGCTGACCTGTAAAGTTATTCAAATTTTAATTTAAAATTCACGACAAGATATGACCCATGTACACTTACGTCGTTTCTACCGGCGTTTTTGGCAACAACGGCGTTGTGATCACAGATATCATTAAGATTACCATGCAATATGTAATTTTCTGCGCACATTTTGAACCACCGGAACTCACGGCTGCTGTTGGACGTAGCTGAAGTAAACCTGTGCATGTAACTGATGGCTTTGCAGAAAGTGTCGCTGTTGTTGAGCGAGGGTTTCCTTCAAAAAATTGAATGAAACATCACAATTAAAGCTCAAATAATTGTGCAAAGGAAAAAGTACATGACGATAATGGGTACTTTATTATTTTACTCGTGACGTGTTCTATGCCATTGGGAGTACTAGCTACGGCTTTGCAAGCGTAAGCTATGTCTCCTTTGATGTTTAGTGCAATTCCCTGCGGATTAGCTTTATTGATGGGTCTCGCGGCATCTTTGAATACATGATGATACAATGTTTGGTCCTGTGAAATAAAAATAATTTTATGGAAAAATGCGGGGTAAAATGTAAAAAAACGAGCGGCTAAATTTATGCAAAACTTGAAAATAAGGCACGACCAATCCACGGTTTGCCAGAAAACTGACTGAATGCAATAAATTACATTAGCTTTGACACTGAACTTGAAGTTACCTACAAAATTTGAGCTCATTTGGATAAGAATTACTTGAGTTGGTCGAAAAACTTGATTATGTATGTACATAAACGATGTGACTCAGATCACCATTATACTTGGTTTGAAATTTGTTTTGTATATATAAAAAAAAAAAAAAAAAAAAAAGATGATGATTTAAAAATAATTACAATTTTTGCTCTGATAAAAATATAAGGCACTCCAATACATTGGTCGTGCCTAAAAACAACGAAATCGATCAAATATACCCACTCTACTGGAAGACAAGAGCGACTGAGGATCGCCTCGCCAAATAATGGCAAGAGGAGAGTTCGTGTGTTCCTCAAAAATGGCAAATGGAATGTACGGCCTCCTAATGTCCCACACGTTAATACTATAATCGACGAGGAGCGAACAACTGGCGATCTGATATTTGCGATTCGGTCTCCACTTTATCCTGCCGACCGACACGAGAGTGTGTATCGTGTAATCGCAGCTCGGCTTGGTCGTCAAGTCCCACACCTTGATGGTTTTGTCCCTCGAGGCGGTAGCGATCCACGAGGTCTCCGGATGCCACTCGCACGCAAATATGGGCCCACTGTGGGCGGTAAAGTCCTGAAAACAACGCTCGGGACGGCGTACGTCCCACATTTGCACGTGCCCATTCTCCGAGACTGCGGCGAACGTATTTGGCTGTTGCGGGGAAAATTGAACGTCTCGCACAGATTCCGTGTTGCTGTAAACGGGTAACATGTCATTCAGGTCCGAGGATATGAATGAATGGGCGAAAAGTGTACCTGACAAATGTTGTTGCCGGATCTTTGGATCTAAAATCGAAGCATTTTATCGTGCCATCTTGAGAGCCCGAGATAAGCCAAGAAGGCTCGGTCGCGTGGAAGTTAATTTTATTGACAGTTCGCGTGTGCTCGCTGAACATGCACTTTTGTTTGGACCTCGATCCTCTATTCATGTCCCATATGAGGATGACACCGTTTGTCGAAGCAGTGGCCAGAATATTTTCTATGGACAAGGGTCAACATACCACAGAGTTAAACTATGAAGAATATCAATATACTCAGTGATGGAGCTTACCCTCAATTTGATTCCAAACAACATCGTTGCAGGAATAGTTCATATTTGTCGTTTTGCCGACCCTCAGACTGAAAGTCTCGACGAACTTTTCCTCTTGGAGCTGGAAAATCTTGAATACTGCAAATACAAATTCCTGATCAGTACCTACTCATTGCTAATGGACAACAGGCATAGAAAAATCAACTCACTGTTTCGTCCGGACACGGCGACCTGGGAGTTATCTTTGTTGAGAGCCAGCGAGTTTCCCGGACTCTCGAGCGGCGTGAAAAAAGTCGTCCTCGACGCCATGGCTCAAACAATTAACAATACCTCTTTTCAGGAGCAACACTTTTTGAAATACTTTACAAAAATAAACTAGTGCCGCACATGTTTAATTGGAACAAAAACAAAGGCGGCCAATATTTTTTTTTTACTTTCAGCAACGTGGGTGTGTATACACGACAACCATCAACCTGTCAGCCATATCAGCATAGTAAAAATATCAGCCTCGAATCAATACCCGCACGGTACAATTTTCACACATATATTTTCTGAAATTCCTTAAAAACGGCGCTCTGTGTTTTAATATCACAGTACAATAATTAAACAACATAACAAGAAAGTTAACACAAAACAAACTCAACGAACGAACACTGCAACAATAGGTATACACACAAAAACAAAATTGCAGACGACGTGACGCGCGGCGGCGACACACGGTGCGCGCGCTGTTTCACACGTATTTATACTTATACTTGGGTATTATACCTCTATTGTGCGTGCGTGTGTTATTATTGATGTTATGCAACCGTAGAAAGTAGCAGCACACAGTAGTTGGCATCTGGTGTGGTGGTGGTGCTCTCTTGGTAAATGTGAATTCGGCACACATCTTCCTTTAGACGAGAAACAAAGTTTTCGGGCGAAATGGCTACGAGCAGGATAAACATTCTTGTAAGTCTACTAAAGTTTTATTTTAGATCTTGTCAGGTTTGGAGGAAGGATGTGGTCCGTGTGTTGTTTGGCTGTACTGAATTTGGAGTCTAGATTTGATGGGGGAGGCATAACCTTGATCCTCTACTGTCACAAGCTTATTGTCTGCATTTTTTTTTTTTTTTTTTTCTAATTTACTTGCTTCGATGACCTATTTATTCATTTATTCCAGCTTCTGTTTCGATTATACAATTATTTTGGCGCTGTAATCTTGAACATCCTCACATTTTTTTACACTTTGGTGTTAAACTTGAAAGTTTTCAAATCTCCTTATATAATTGAAAGTGCATTTATTAAATGAGTTTTTGATTGTTTACAAGATATTGCAGTATTGTTTAAGTCGTAAATTCTCTAATGATGCATTTCAAACATTAAATACAATTTCTAGGCAAGGTCTTTCTCAAGTTCCTCTGTGGCACAGCAAATGGTCAAGGTAAGATACAACATATGAGCTTGATGGACTTGAATTGTAGACTGTAAATAATAATTTGTATCATCTTAGCCACCTCTACAAGTATTTGGCGTGGAGGGTCGTTATGCTACTGCACTATATTCAGCTGCCAGTAAACAAAAGTCGTTGGATGCTGTTGAAAAAGATTTGCTCAAATTTCAGGTTGGAAAATTATTTCTTTTCATATGGTCTTTCATGAAAATTTTCATTTTAGTACATGTTTTAACATTTCTATAGGGTCTTTTGAAAACGGACAAAAAGTTGTCTGAATTTATCAAGGATCCAAGCATCAAGCGCCAAACTAAGGCTAGTGCTTTCCAAAAAATTGGCTCCAACTTTAACCCTGCCACAGCTAACCTTCTGGGTCTCCTTGCTGAAAATGGAAGGCTGTCAAATTTGAATCAGATAATTAACTCGTTCAAGCTCATCATGTCAGCTAGTAGGGGAGAAGTTTTGTGCGAAGTGACATCAGCCAAGCCCCTTGATGCCGAGAGCAAGGGAAAATTAGAGGCTGCTTTAAAATCATTCTTGAAATCGGGTCAGAACATTCAGTTAACGACAAAAGTGGATCCCAGTATCATTGGTGGTCTGGTTGTGTCGATTGGTGATAAATATGTCGATATGAGTGTTGCTACCAAAATTAAGAAATACACGGAAGTCATTAACGCTGCTGTTTAAATATTCTACCATTTACATTACGTGTAATAATTTTTGCGACATATTAGAAATGTCTTTAAATAAATAGATGTTAAAGAAAAAACACCTTTGTTATTTTTATTAACAATAAATCGTTTTATTATGTTAAATTTTTTCGTGTATATGTACCAAGTTAAATTAATACCTATGAAGCAGAGCTCATATTACTGATAAAAATTAAATTACTCCTACTTAAAGATCTATGTTGGCTTGATTAAAAAAAAAAATTTGTTTCTACACATAGTATTTGGATTTTGCTTGACTATATGAATATTAATCAAATCAAAGAATAAGTTTTCCATCACGTGTACAAACCTGAATAAAATTGCAAAAATTAACAGTACTATTTAACAGGAGAAAAAATCTGAGTAACTGAGACAAGAATTTATGGTATAGAAAAAAACATTCCTCCAACGCGTGGCACGTTGTACTCAAGGTATTAGAAACTTCATCTACTTATATACATCAACAAACTTATTTTTTTTTAAACATAATTTTTTGAGTAAAATGACTAAGAAAAATCCTAGTGCAATGATTTCAAATATGCCGCATCAAACAAATCGAGCTCGTTTGCCAAGTAATTTGCCTTGTTTCTAAGGACTTTAGCATTTGTAGCTGCCTCTTCCAAAGTACGAATTTTTATAGCAATCGTTTTTAATTCGCTATCCATCTCAGACGTAGATTCATCTATCAAGTGGCACAATCTTGCAAATGTGCTTGATAGTTCCCTGTAATGAAAAGATATTGGTAGCATTTTTTTCTTCGCAGATTCAATGGTTAATAACAAAATCACAGATGTGAGCTTACTGTTGAACTTGATGGCTACAGTTGGCCGATGTGAGATCAACAATGAGTCGCAGTTTTTGTGTCACATGACTGACGTATTGACGCTTAAATTCACGCTCCTTTGCTTTATTTGTCCATGTCAAACGTTCATACAGATATAAAGCGCCATAAATCGCTCCTGTTACAGCTATTAGTCTCCAACCAATGGTCTTTAACATCTTGGATAAAATACAATGAGCATGTGATTATTGATGATAGTGAATTTTTTTCAGTAAAAACTTACGAATCCTGCAACAATAAGGCCTCCCATTGTTCCCTGTGAAGTTATTGATGCTACTGCTATTCTAGAAGCTAATGACCAGTCATCAGGTCTAGGTACAAAGCAGCTCGTTGTGGTAACGAATTTCGAAGAGTCTATACTATCTGCAGGAGATACGAGGGATTGAGGGATCTGAGAAATAAAAATAATAGACATTAACATTGATTTTCGGTGAAAATAAAGTACACGTATCAAAACGAACCTCCTGAGGTGCATTCATGATAGCCATTTTCTGACCCTTTTTACCAGCAAATCGACTGATAAGGGCAGTAATGCCCCAAGAAAAGCGAAACTCCAAGTCTTCGTGGAAATCAGCACACAAGTTTTCACAATTTAATCTGTATAAAATTTCAAAGGGTTCCCTTCTCGGCAGAACGTTCATAGTGATCTGTCGCTTATTTTCAGGCAGCAAACACGACATCCTCTCGGTCATCTCCCTCTGCGAATTTTCAATGTTTAACGAAAGAGCGGTACTTAGACGAGCTCTCAAGTTCGAGCCCAGACCGCATTCAACGTGTGCATGAAGTTCACGTTTGTAAACGTTCAATACTAGAGGCTCAGATTGGAAAGGAACATTGAATTCGTCGATGAGAACCGCTAGTCGACGAATCTCTTCGCTTAGGGCCTTTGACACTCGTTGTTCCACATCCTCCGTCATCCGATGTATTTTGTCCTTCATCTCCTGGGTTAACAACATTAACTGTTGCTCTGTGAAGTTTAGTCTGTCGTGCACCTCTTTTTTTATGCCTATTTGCTCGGCCTTCATTTTTTGTGCACGATCTAAAATTTCGTCTAAAGTTTGTCGTATTTCTCTGCAATGATTTAATATATTGGTTAATTTTTCAATTAATTACCATGTATTCTTATTTACAGAGTAGACTTACGTTGCTATGTGTTTTCCTCGCTGAGAATGTTGCTCGAATTTTGTTTTTACGGCCGATTTCGAAATACATTCTTCAAACTTTCTCTCAAAGTCTTGGAACTCGAAAAAACGATTTTGAAAGCCTTCCGCTACTGCTCCATCTGAGATTGGTGAATCGATACAATTAATAAATTACTCTGTCAATCAATATAAACATTACTCCAAGAGTGAAACTTACTGTGTGCCGGTTGTCCTTGCTGTTCCTGAATACGAGCGTTAAGCGTTTCTTTAGCCGAAACAAAGAAAACGCGTTCCTCTGCATCCTTAGGAGTACAAACCTTCAACTCTCTGGCTAGAAAATCAACCGCTCGTTCTTGATGTTGAGCTCTTACTAGTTTCACCTGTTGAAAATGCTCAGCGTTCATCAATGCTGTTTTTTAAAAACTCATAAAACACTAATCGTGTGGAGACTGGAAAATAAAATCAATGTGCACTATTTGCTTAGTGCATTTCTATTTTTCCGCAAAAAAGTGAAAAATTAAAAAAACTTGCGAAATCGCAAGAAAAGTTGTAAAAATAGACAACACAAATTTTATAGTCAGCAACACAAAGCTTCTTAAAATACATTTTTTTTCATTCTTTCTCTTTTACAAAAGCTTACCTCCTTTTGTTCATCGACCAGCTAAAGAATAAATTTACAGGACGATCATAATTTATGTTATTTAATTTTCACAAGTAACAATTAATAAATATTAATAGTTAAATGTATTTAAATAATTTACTTTATTGCCTCACCTGATTGAGACTATCTGGTTCAGAAGCAGAGGCATCCCATCTATTATTTAAAATGAAAATATTTGGTTTTGACAACTTTGTGGATACTTTGTGGAAAAAGTTTTTCTCCTAAAATAAAAAATGATTAAAAATTGCTTTGATCCAATGTTTTTATGACTTCAAGCCTTAGGTGAAAAAAAAATCCTAACCGCAATCATTAACGTTGACTCTGCATTTGCAACAAGAACAAAAACATCTGCATCAAGGCAGTGTTTGTCAATGCAAGCATCAAGATTTGTTGTTACATCAACACCAGGACTATCAACAAAGACTACATCATCCCTCAAAAGTAAGCACTTTTCCTTTGGCCAAAAAATTCGTACTAGGGCATTTTCACACAATTTTTCTTCACACAGAGCATTGCCAAGTTGACCAACTGACTGCACAGGCTGCTTTTGATCAGATTCTTCAATGACTAGGTAAGCTTCAGCACTATCTGATCCCTCAACTTGCAGGAAACAGTTTGTTGTATGACCAAGACCACTGGGCAATATTTTGTCACGCAACATAGCATTGATGACGGTACTTTTTCCATTACTAGTTCTGTAAAACGCATAGTCAATTATAATATTATGTTTGGCATAACGCGATGAAAAATAATAAGTTTTTAGTACCTTCCAAAGAAAGCCACTTTCATGTGATCCCGCTTGAGAACATCTCTGATACCTTGAACCTTAACTTTGTAACTTTCTATTTTACTGGCTTCTTCAGAATTGAGAATAGGAGGTTCATTTTTTAGAGCTGAAAAGCATGTTTTATTAAACAATCTAGTGATATATGGTTTATAAAGTTGATTTGAATGGAAACTCACATCCAATGAACCTGGTTGTGTCGTCAACATAATCATCGATCTCAAGGAAGATGTCATTAATTTTCTTCTTGGCCTTGACAAATATCTGTAGAGGAGAATTTTCATTTTTTATATCTGTTGTGCGAAATTGATTCTCTCCAGCTATCATTGACATTGTGCGATTGATATATGCAGCCATTATTTGCTCTACTACTTGGTTGAATTGTTACTTAGCAAATTAATTATAACAATGTGACTCTGCTGGTGGTGTTTGATTGGTGGTGACGAAGCATGCAGGGTTGCAACTGAAATCAAAAAATAAAAACCAAGCATCGTTCAAACTAAAACGTTGTGTTGTTGTGTAAGATACATATATTTTTAACATCTAGTGTACACAAATTATGCCATAATAAAGTATAATACATATAATTGTTTATATATATAGATAAAATACGATATCTATGGTGCTTACTTTAAAATCTTTTTTTATTTCATAAACTTCAAAGAAAGTTATCAGGAGAACATCAAAGTTACTGATAATGTAGAAAGCAGATAAATACATAAAAATATTGTGGATGGTAAATATGTACATACATATAAATGATAATTCATGTGACTGCTACAGCAAAATATGGACAATATAATGATAATGGCTAATAATTGATAGACACAACACTAAAACGCAACAACGATAAATTAACGATGTTTAACCTGTTTCTCTTCAGACATTGGAGTACCTAATTCGTGTAAATCTATGATATTATATAGGATGAAATGGTTTGTTAGTTCCCAACTCCACTCTGAAACATTTATTCAACACGAAAAAATAACATCTAAAAAATGTCTGAGATTGCAGCTTTTAAATATAAATTAAAGTTCGATCATTCGATTACCCCGTGTATATGATCATTTAAAAAATCAATGAAACTTATTTCTGTAAAAGTAAATAAAAATGTTACTGGTAAAAAAAATAAAACCCGTAGGTATTTAATGCTCTCATGTGCAGGTGTATTTTTCTGACACACACGATGACCTAACCTAAAAATACTCGTGACGCAACTTCAACCATGGTATCAGACTCTGAAGTTGCTTAGTTGCATCGATCGTTAACAAGTATAATTGTTGTACTGTTATTAAGTACAAGTAAGCTTGAGATCATTAATCATGTATCTGACAATTCGATTACTTAGGTACGCTAAAGTGATCGATTTTAGAGATGTCAGTAGCAAAAGAGGCCTCAAAAACTGCGCGTTGCGTTGTATAAAGCACGAGAATAACAAGTAAAAAGAAGCATTGTACAGACATAAGTATTTATTTTGACTTACGGATTTTTCGTTCGGTATGGCAAATATAATTGTTTCGTTCGAATTTCATAAGGATCGGATCATATCGTCTGCGACGAGCCGCACCTCTCACTATTTATGTGCAACTCGATTGATTTTCTTTTATCACAACCTTTATAAACTTAAAATGACCTTCGGCTACTATACTCTACTATACTGTCTAATCCGCGTGAGAACGACATTGATGACATTCGTACACGAAGGAGGCCGTCGGATGATGATCGCGTGCAAGGGAGCTGAGGAAATAAGTTTGATCGAATCCAATCTCTAGTACGGCTCTATAGGCTCTACCCACACTACTACTTATAAATGTCCAGATGCCCAGTGCCCAGTTGCCCACAGAGAGCTCTCATCATCTATGAGGTAAGGTAGCTGTTTCTCAGGTTTCTCTTACGTTTCGTCAACGTGATCATATAAATATAAGTATGAACAACTGGTCATAAGTGTCATCATTCAGGTTTGCACCGATGGCTAATTAACACTATTCTTGTGTACAAGAATGCCGTGTCTGAGCCTAAGGGCGATGATGAATAAAAAAAAAATCTATACAGCTCGCAACGCAACTCATACTCGGTTCTCTTTTCTCTCAAAGGAATCCCTTGTTATCTGATCCTTCTCTCTGTGTCTTTTGGCTCAAAAACTACAAATTTTCACAAGGTTCCAGCAAATAACAACAATCGAAGTACATCCGAGTCGGACTTTGTTTTGTAAAATTTATTTCTTTACCTGTTCAAAAATACTTACTGATTAACTTATTGTTGTGATTTACAATCATACGCATAAATAGTTGAAAAACCAACGGTGAGTATAATTCGAGATAACCAAAATTAAAAATTAAAAATTTGGCATTAAAAAAGAAAAAAAAAAAAAATACGGCACACACAGTTGAATAGTTCTATACATTCTTGAGTTGTGGATTGTTTTTGCCGATAATAGGAGCTGTTCGCTAGTTTTTCCGTGGACTGGGTGCGAGAAACGACTCTTGGTGCGAATCAGTTTTTGAAAGACGAGCAGCGATTGAAGTGGACGTCGGGAGCGGACGATAACGTTGAAACTGGAAATTTGGATTCGGACAAAAATTAATAATTGTTTTTCATCAACAGTTCATTATGTAGTTGGAATCAATTGTAGTTGATGATTTTTTGAAAGGTCTGACTAGCGATGAAAAAAATCAAAAATTGCAGAATATTTTGTTCTAATGAAAATTTTCTCCAGGTAAAACACTAAAAAAAATTTGTCTTTTTAAAAATTCTCCAGTTAATACTTAATTCTTACATTAAATGTGTATTAATATATCATGTGCTACACCAAAAATTCGCAATAAAACTATCTAAACAAAAAAAAAATTATTTTTACTTCATCCTCCCTGCTATTGAAAAATTATACCTCTGTAAATTATTAAAATTTATTTTACCTTCAGGTCCGTCAAAAGTCAGGTAATAAAAAAGTCATTTAATACCATAATATAATGTACATACGCAATGTTCCATGCCAACTTCGCCGCAAAAAATAGATTTCTTTGAAAAATTTTAACATAATGAGCCAATTACATTAAATTGCAGAAAAAATAAAAATGGAATTGGTTTATCGTACAAATATATTCAAAAGTAATACTACTCGTTTTGTTTATACTCTGAAGAAATGTTTATAACTCTGTTTGATTTACCTACGTTAAAACAAAATAAAACTACACGTAACTTTCCAATATTTCTCATATTAGTTATAGTGAGTCGCATAGATTTTCTTTTTCCTTTAAATATTTTTAAATTAATTACCGCTTATGTACGTTATCAAAAAAAGCCAAAAATGCTTGTACATACGACCAGATTACTTGGTTATCGACAACGGATGGACACACTGACACAGTAGTTGATAGTATAACTGAATCTCCGACCGCGTGGCAGCATATGATTCACTCCCGCATGTGGCGAAAAAAGTGTCTGGTTAGTATATATAGACCAAATTGACAGCAGCTGTTCAGAGATGTGTACACACTGGCTCATGACGTAAGTCTACAGTCTCTCACGTGGACGGACTCGGTTTGAATAGTTTGCTACGTTTGTAGTAGCTCACCGATCCGTACCTACAGGTAAGTGAGGTAAGTAGGACGTGGTGAATGACTTGTTGGTGCGTACATATTTTTTTGTTTTTATTTTTACATATCTGTTAAAAATCAGTGTCCTGCTTTATTATTTGCGTTTTTCTAAACCAAATTCCTCTATTTTTTTCATTTCAAGAGTAAAAATTCTGAGAAATCAAGAAAACATACGTCCGCTGCTTAATCTGTCGATTTATTATTAAATTTTTTTCTTTTTCAGTTATTATTCGTTTAAACAGCCTTTCGTATTTTTGCTCATTATTTTGTTTTCTCTTGAAAAATCTTTTTGTGTCCAACATATTCTTTATTTGTATACGTACTGAAAAAACGACTACTAAATATATTATCGAATTTCATATTTTTGAATCATTTTTAATACTTACACAGAGTAATAGCTTAATTAAACTAATTTTCCAAAAAAAAAAAAATAACGATAGAACAATTTTATTTGAAAAAAAGGAGTTTATATCATTATGCAGCATAAACTTTTCAACTTCAATTATTTTTAATTAAACCATAACATCATAAAATATTAACAAATGTCATGTACTAACATCAAATCATATGATTACTTTCACTTTTTATTTATTTTTTTTTCTTTTAAAACGTGTCAGTTATTCCACAATGTAAGTTTTCACATCAATTTTAACGGATATCCATTATTTAGTTTTGCGTCTTGACATTCAAATAAGTGTAATATCATCGCATAATAATTATATTTTAATAAATAAGTACATACATTAGGCTCTTGACCATCACATGTAGCGCTTATTATTCGATATTTCATAAATCTTACTAAATATAATAGCGCGTTTTTAACGCGAAAACAACGATTTCCATGAAAAATATTGTAAAGAAATAAACAGACGCTATAACTATATATAGACTGATACTGAACTCTGATCGCGGCTTTTGATATCTCGCTAAAGTAAGCATTTTTTCTCGATATAGTGAGATAAATTTAGACTAGCTCGAAAAAAATATGTTGTAGAGAATTAAACAATGCCGATCGATTGTAATAAAATTGAATTAAAAATATTTTTCGACAAGGCTTCAAAAAAAAAAAAAAATGGCAAACCCATCAGCACGCAGTACGAAGCCAAGCACAAAATGAGGCTAAATGGCTGCCGAGGTATCAACGACTCTGCCTAACATGTGCAGAAGGGCGAAGACAAAAACCTCGAAGACAAGCGCAGCGCAATTGCACCTGGTAAAGTCTCACCTGGGGGATGATGAAGGTGGAGCATGTGGCCGATGTACAGGCTCGAAATGGGCGCACACGTGGCATCAACACACGTAATATGGTCAACAATGCAGATCCTAGCGACGGAGAAAGTACACAAGCAGCACCACGAGCACGAGCACTAGCTGGGTCAGGCAACGAGGCATAACGTTAGGCGACGACATCGTATCAAGCACCATATGACCCACGTAGCAATGGTGATGAAAAGCTCTGGCTAAGCATCAGCTTATCAAAAGCAGTGACAACAAAATCAAAACGACTCACCGATGTTGACACTTCGTAGAAAACGCCGCAGCACAACAATCTCCAGATCGACAAAGACGAACACGTCGAGCACCGAAGCAGGTTGCAAAGTCGACGACGACGAAGACGATCACGTCGGGGTCACCAATTGTAAGGACTAAAGCCCTATATATATACATCTTCGTAGGATAAGGTGCTGGAATGAACAGAAAAACTTTTTATATATGTGTNTTTTTTTTTTTTTAGGAATATTGTACGTTTCCGACGCTAAAAACCGTGTTTTACCTTTTTTGCCATTTTTTTTGAAGCCTTAGCGGAAAAGATTTTTAATTCGATTTCATTACAATCGATCGGCATTGTTCAATTCTCTACAACATATTTTTTTCGAGCTAGTCTGAATTTCATAAAAAATTATCGACATTTCAGCTAATTCGAATTCGACTAAAAATCTTACGACTGCGCATGAGCTTAACCATTATTTTTTATTTTATAAAAATTATCGAAACTACGTGACCAGTGACCACAGTACGACACTGACCACATCATCATTCTGATGTGGTCTATAACTCCACATCCTATGTTAATGTTAGTATCCTTAGATCCTTATACATTCCTTTTACTTCCTTAGTCCTTACTCCGACTCCGACTCTCCGAGTCGGCGCGAAAAACGGACCTGCGCAGAGTGAACGTGTCAAGTCCTAAAGGTGCATCCTTCCGCGACGGTGTAGATACAACAGCGTCAAGCGTCATAAAGCTACCAACACCATAGGTAGAATAGTATCAAAGTTGACGCTTGACGCTGATTTCTCGCGTCTCGTCAAAATGCGGCTTAGTTTGACTCAGGCACGTTAATCCGTCTTATTGGGCCTGTTGGTAGTGGTTAGTAACAGTGCCAACACTGCCAACACTGCCAACCCAACGCCCAAAACTGGACGAGGTAAAGTTGTTTAGTCGCTCGGCATTGCCCGGTGCCACAACAATCACGACCTGACACGACGGAAAAGAAAAACTCGGCAAACGAAAGAAGACGCGGGGATAATCTTCTCCTAGCAGAAGAGCAAGCCGGCAAGCTTGGAACAACTCCGTTCAGATAAAGAAAGCAAGAGGTTGCTAAGAAGAACGCAAGAGAATGAGTGTTTGCTTCAGTACCTTATACTTTTAAGGTAGACAGTGCACGCGTATGTGAGTGATTGTGGGTCGCGCTCGAGCATCATCAACTCCCCGAGGAGGTGGAGGACGAAGAGGTTTATCCCTTTCGGCGACGACGAGTACTTGGCTCGACTCGGAGGCTAAAGAAGAGCAAAGAGGGCGACCGAGGAGTCGGAGGTCGGGGACAGGTGCTGTAGCGCGCGCGCGGAGCAGCAGCGCACCCCACGCGCTGCCGTAGCGTCGCTTGTAAAATGGCGGACGGTGACATCGATCTGTACGGCGACGACGATCTCGAGCAGGACTTTGGCCAGGTTAGTGAAAGTACCCCTTCATACAATTGACTCTACCGTTCTAAGTGATAACGCGGGCGGCTGTAGCGCTTGGAGTCGGCGTAGATGCCCCGGATCTCTTGGGATCGGGGAACATGAAATAAAAGCGCCTACTTACCCGGCGCTACAGTAGGTAGGTACGCGTGTGCTGGAGTACATGTACCAATGGTGTACCGATACAATGGCGAGAATAGGAAGGGATAAGCATAGTGGCGGCGGTACACTATCGGAATTCGTGATAAAAAAAAAAAAAAAAAAAAAAAAAAAAAAAAAAAAAAAAAAAAAAAAAAAAAAAAAAAAAAACGGAGTCGTGCACGATAACGATCATTCCATCTGATTCTTTTGTCGCGAGGACGCCGAGGACACGGTTCTTTGGGTATTATTCCTACGACAAAGCTGATTAGAAAAAGCTACCTCTTTACCCAAATTTACAGAATGCATATAAGCCTAATGGAAACACGATTTTTTCCTTATTTTTTTTTTCTCTTTCGTTCTATGCTGTGGTTTAGCGCCTCTTTTTTCAGCTACTAATACTATGATGCTAAGTCGTTAGTTTGGCGAACCCCATGTTTTTCAGTGTAGTGTAATGAAAGCTTTAGAAGTAAAGTTGTTTTTAATCCACTTAAGGTTTATTTGGTGTTCTGTGACTTTAGAGTTTAAAACAGCGTTACAAATAAATTTTTAATCAATCAATTTGTTTTTCCAGGTGCAAGGTGAGTTTCCTGGAGATGGTGTGGATTTATATGACGATGTAATTGCTGCGGCTCCTGGTAATAATGAGCGAGGTACTTCCGAAAGTAGTGAGAGGGGCGACAGAGGAGACAGAGAGACTGCCAATGAAGAGACAAATGGGGGTGCGCCCTACCATCAGCTTGGTAACAACATTCAGCCGAACCAGGTGGGAAGGAGGCATCAACTGTACGTCGGAAATTTGTCTTGGGTAATTATTTGCTTGATCTAAATCACAGCGTTTTCCCATGATTTTTTTTTTTTTTTTCAACTTTTTTTTTTCTCTTTTTTTTTCAGTGGACAAGTGATCAAGATATTGCTGATGCTATAGCTGGAGTGGGTGTACCAGATTTTATTGAAGTCAAATTTTTTGAAAATCGAGCCAATGGAAGGTCGAAGGGATTTTGTTTGGTTTCCTTAGGATCGGAACAAAGTATGAGAATATGTATGGATAGACTTCCTAAAAAGGAACTTCATGGACAATTGCCAGTCGTAACATATCCCAGTAAACAAGCTCTGAATCAGGTATTTACCATCTGTACATAATTTGTTGTCTGTATTTTTATAAGTGATTAACATTTTGTTTGTGAACTTTCAGTTTGAGTCGCAATGCAAATCGCGGCCAACACCATCGCCTCAACAGAGCCAGGGTCAAAGACCACACAATTCACACCAGCATCAACAATCTATGCCCCCGCACCAGCACCCTCCACACTCTCATCCTCAGCATTCACAGCAAAATCACGGACCGAGAATGATGATGGGACCGCCCCAAGGACAAATGAGACCTGGTCAGAGACTTCCGCCTGGTATGGGACCTGGCCCAGGAGGCCCACCGCAGCAAGGTCCCCCTGCACCTCGCATGCACTCTTCTCCAATGGGCCCAGGAATGCAAGGGCATCCAATGCAAGGACACCCAAATCAAGGTCCTCCCCCACCAGGTTTTGTGAAGGGTAATATGCAGCCACGTTCACATTATCCGTAAGTACCTTACCCAAAACTTATATTTTATATTTCTACTTCAACTTTCTTTTTTCTGCGTGCATAAAGGGAAGTAAAAGTTTGAGATATCAATTGAAATAATGATAGACTAAATGTCTCAGTAATTATCAATACTTTTAATAGGGATCGGCCCCACGGGATGTCTCCACAGCAAGGGCCACCAGGTCCCGGTCAAGGACGTCCGCCTGGCATGGTGCATATCATTTTTACATTTTCGTATCATAGCATTGTTTTCTTGGCAATGGATATGGATTGTGAAAACTTTCAATTTTCCACAGTACAATCCTCATGCAGGGCCACCTGGTCATGCAGGACCACCTGGTCCACCTGGTCATGGGATTCCTCGCCCTCCACCTCCACAGCAAGGGCCACCACCAGGTCCCGGTCAAGGACGTCCACCCGGCATTGTGCGTATATTTTCTGCGTTTCTTCTCCATATATCTGTTTTACGTGAACAGAATACATGAAATACGACAATATTTAATTTTTAGCCTTACGGTCATCCAACCGGCCCCCGTGGACCACCAGGACCACCAGGACTAGGTCCATCCGGACCTCAAGGACAGCCTCCTCACGCGAATCCTGCTCCTCACGTGAATCCTGCATTCTTTCCACAAGGTCCGCCGCATCAACATCCTGGCCAACATCTTCCTCCCGGCCCACCCGGACCGCCACCTCACGGTCCGCCCCACCCGCCTCATGCTCATCCGCATGCGCCTCCTCATGGGCCTCCACAACCCCAACACCCACATGGCCATCCTGGTTACGGCCCACCAGCTGCTCAGGTAAGCTAAACCTTCAGGTCATTCCAGCTACTAAAATTGTAAATACGACATTGGAGTTGCAATTAAATGATTTTTTTCAGCCCCCCTATGGTGCACCAGGCCCAGATCACCGTTCGGAAGGACCACCTCCGCTTTCGGAGCAGGAAATCGAAGAAATCATGGGTCGCAACAGAACTGTATCCTCGTCGGCCATCAGTCGCGCGGTCTCTGATGCTGCTGCTGGCGAGTACGCTAGTGCGATTGAAACATTAGTGACAGCAATATCCCTCATCAAGCAATCCAAGGTGGCGGCTGATGACCGCTGCAAAATATTGATCAGTTCGCTACAGGATACGCTCAAGGGGGTGGAAACCAAGAGCTACGGTTCTGCTCGCCGAGGTAACGTACATTTGTCTTTCGGGATAGTAAAAATCATTGACGTTGTAGACACAAGAGTGAAACATTTTAATGGATTGTAGAACGATCCCGATCGCGTGAGAGAGACCGCAGCCACAGAAGACGCAGGGAGAGGTCGAGAAGCCGAGACCGAGAGTATCGTGAAAGAAGTCGCGAGCGAGATCGTGATCGTGATCGTGATCGAGACCGAGACCGCGAGCGCGACAGGGACAGGGAGCGTGAGCGCTACTACACTGAGCCCTATCCACGTGAACGCTCGCGCAGCAGAGAGCGAGATCGTGAGTACCGAGAGCGCAGCAGAGAGGAGAGGTAAGAGGATGATGGCCTATAAAATTCGTAAGCATCTTCTGACTTTTGCGGAGTGCGTGTGCGTGAAGTTTTGGGCCTGGGATTATCTTGATATCGCATGGATAGTTTAACTATGACAATTTCATTCTTGGCTAATGTTATTTGTTACTTGAGATAAAGGAAAAAAAAAAAAAAAAAAAATCATGTCATGTCATGTCATGTCCCAAAAAAAAGTGGGTTTTATGTGACTGTACATTGCCATGTTTGACATGGCTCGTTTGTATTATTGCTATGCAATACGAATAACTTAGCCCATTCCTTTTTGTAAAAGGGATTTGTACAGTGGTATTTGTCTTTCAATTCCGCGTGTCATAACTGCGAACGCCTGTTTCAATTTGTTGGACAAAGTATTTTTCTTTCTGCCTCCCAATTCTAGTATTTTAGATTTTTTTTTTTTTTTTTCTTCTATTCAAGTGTTGAAAGTTATAAAATAATTGGTTGCATGTTTGAGAAATGAAAAATTTGAAGCGTTTTCGGCGTCTTAGAGTTTATAAAGTCTTGAGTACTCTGGTCTTTTAGAAAACTCGTTCATACTCTCATGTCAACTGATTAATCACATGCTTCCCCAATACTTACAATCTTTAAAAAGACCAAATTTTTGTACCAAGTCTTGAAACAATTCTATTTCCTATCATGCATTGTTTTAGGATAGTATTTTTTTTAAACATACTAAACATTATATATGTACTTGTTCATTTTCCTTGCGGCTTCAGTACTACTTTCTTTTGAACAAAATATAATGAGGTGATCGAATTAATGTAAACAAAACTGTGATAACCTAAAAAAAAAAAATCTAAACAAAGCGTATATATTTTTATATCTCGTCTAGTTTAGAAACCTCATTTTTTATAAAATAGGCCAAACAACCGTTTGACGGCAACTTTGTGCTGAACATAAGTTTTCCTGTTGATTTGTGAGGGCACATTCGAAAATAATCGTTCGTTACTTCAATCATTCACTCCATAATTAACGAAGTTCGAACGAATTGATTACAGAACTAGTTACAATTAAATACACTTGTTAAATTAGACAGACAATTGCTTTTTAGAGAACCAGAACACCTTACAATGATTTTTCAATTTTTCAGAATTTGCAAAATTTTCATAATCAAGTTAATGAAAATGATTGTTGTAATACATGCTACATGATTTAAGCGTCAGTTATAACAAATGTTAACTTTTTATTTTTACATTTGTATTGAATTTAAATTCAGTTTTTTCACACAAACACCAGGCTAATAAATAAGAGTGTTCCACTGAAAAGCTAACTAGAAGTTACAAAATACCACCCCCGGGATGCCTGCCTTTTTGAATACGTCTCAAATCTTACTGCACTGCTGCTTTGTTCCGTTCGAAATACATTAACTATGGAACGAACGATCATTTTCGAACGTGCTCTTATATACTTTTTAACTCATTAATCCTTTCAGTCACAATAATAATTGTGGTTGATGTACATTTTTATACAAAATGTATTAAGCATCTTTTGACTTTTTGCATCGTGAATAATGAAATTCAATTGTTAGTTTTAACAAAATGAGGTACAAAGACTGTTTTCGCTGTACATATGTTATTTTGTTTGATTGAGTAATATACATAATTCGTCCAACGTATTATTTAATAATACGTGTGATACCGTGATATGCTAGCGCAGTATACTTTATGAAAAGTACGTCTTAAAAGTGATAATTTTATGAATGATCTTTTTACGTCGTAAAATGAATTTTCTGTGATATTTTAAAATAAATTTTAAGATGCTATTCAAGCTTTTAACTATTTTACATATTTTATTACTTTTCAGACTATTATTTAAAAAGTTCAATACTTACAACTGAAAGGATTAATTCAAACTTTTTCTATGGGTATCGTTTCATTGTAAGATATGTTGAAAAAATCTGTGAAGCGCTAAAATTGTAACTTTAAAAACAGATTTCTCTGGAAATCTACAATGTACAAAACCCTGTGTAACAATTCTGCTACTGTGCTCTACGACAATCACAAAGAAGTACAAGTAGATCATGTACAGCTCCCAATGACGATCAAAGCAACAAACAAAAAGATATTTTATATTTAACTTTTGCGATTACGTACTAGGTTCATTTGATACACAGGTTTATTTTGCGCCAACATTTTATTGTAAAATTTAATAGTAAATTAGAAATATATTAAAAAGTTAATGCCAGAAGCACATAAGCCTGGTTTTTTAGTATGTAAATCATAACGTAATATTAATTTTTGATTAGTACGACACGTCAATCCACCAGGCCAAGAGTAAAGGAAGAACCGCCTGAGGCGGCACCTGTCTCATCTTCCAAGACATCTAGGTAAACCATAATTTTTTACACTAAAGTGAATGCATGTACATAGCCTATACCATAGACGAAATACTTTTATAATTGTAGTTTTCGATTGCGTCTCGTGATAGTATGTAAAACAAAAAAAGGAAATGACTCGTTTGCTCGTTGGACGAGTTGACAAGCTTATTTCTTTGTAAAACAGACGTCAATATATAAATTTACAATGACTTGCAAAGTGTCATAGCTTTATACCGCGTGTGGGGCAAATCGCTGTTGCTCATTGCATCAGCTCTTACAGTGTAAATTGACGCTTTTCAAGTCATCGACAAAAACTGCGCTAAGAGTAAGAACAAAATTTGTGAGATGACTGTGTAAATTTTTGTTTTCTTTTTGGTCCTTTCAAAATGATTGTCCTGGCCGTAACTTTGAAAAATACAATCAGAACCTGAAATATAAAACAATGACAGTCATTCTGAACGATAAAAATATATTGTATGAAATCTGCGCAATTCTCAAAAAAACGTAGTTTTTGAAAGCATTCTCGACTCCTCATTACATAATCATTCACTTTGTTATATCTCGTGTAACTCATGTTGGAACGTAAAAATAAGTTATGTACATTTTTGTGATTATTGAACAATTTCTCAGTCTCTCAGGGTATCAAATACAATGTACTTGAATAGATGTCAAACATACTGGTCAAAATAACATTCTCCTAAGCTTTTATGACAGGAATAACGAAATATCAAAAAATCTGTGCAAAATGTAACCCGAATGTTGTTTTTAATACAGATATCTTGAGAGAGATGTTAAAAATCTTCAATCAACTGTTCCTCAATCATGTACATATAAGTATTTGGCAACTCATAGATAAATAATAACTGTAAGTCACGTTTGCGAGTACGAATTTTTTAAAATTAAACAGTGATAACAATCTTCTACATTACACGATTTGATTAATCACTCTTATAAATTTTTCATTAGTAATGACCTTGAAATTACATACATGTATTTGATTATTGAAATTCGTATGGCCAAATAAAACTTGCAACATTTATAAAACAGTAATATTACTCAAGTTTTTTTTCCAACAATTGATACCAATGAAATGTTTTATTTTGTTACGATTACGAGCTCGTTTATGTGAGGTGGATGTAAAAAAAAATACTTATAATCAGCGTTGCTGAAATGAAATCGTCGTGAATTTTCAATTTCTTATTTCAGTATTAATAAAAAAGTTTCAATACACATATTTATGAAAAAAAAAAAAAAAAAAAAAAAGCTTGAAGTACATAATGAGTCCAAGTACGATAGGGTAGATGTATTTTTTTGTTACAATAGTTAATTTGATTAAGCTTTAAAACTTGATTTATCAGCCAATAATAAACATAGCGATGATTAAAAAAAAACATAATATAAAGTAAAATTCATAAAATCAATGTACAAGTTTGGAATCAGTGACATCTACCCTAGTATTAGTAGTTAATTTTTAAGATAATTGTGAATGCAATATCACTGTCTAGGTATTATGATGAACGCAACAGAGAACGCGATCGCGAGAGAGAACGAGAAGCCTCGAGCAGAAGACCGGCGGAACGTGAGCGGGAGCCAGAGCGCGAGCGAGAACGTGAGAGGGAACGCCGCGACGAAAGGGCCGACTCGTCTCATCGCTCCAGACACTGAATTCTCCACGTACCGTCGGCTCAAACAGCAACATCAAAAGACGACGACAACGTGCTTGCTGCTAAAATATACACAAGAAAAGAGAGAGAAAGTACTTCGATCGCACAGCCACACTCGTCATCAAGCCACTCAACGCATGGACAAGAGATCATTGCCAACGAGACGACCACAGCTATTTAATTATGAAGAGAAAGCGCCCGGCAAATGTGACTTTCGATGTATTCCAATCAATTTCAATCAATAACTATTATAATTATATTGACAACCAAAGGAAGGGAACTTATGCACGAGTTTATTCGTTTATTATACGGGTCGATGACTTACGGACGATTAAGAAGTGACTTTAAAAAAAAAAAACAATAATAATAAAAAAAACTTCAAATAATTTATATTAAAATGATTAAAAATTTCAATAGCGTGTTTGAGAGAACCAGAACACCTNTACCATCAGTAAATTGTCAATTTGTGTTCTTAATTATCTAAATAATTTTTCTGATTGTCAACGTCCAAATAACGGTACCGCTACTTGCGAAGCCTATTATCATTTAATTGAATTTAATTGTCTCTCAACCAGTGGGTGAGTATGCGAGTGTTCATTTTTATATATCCATTTATATATACATATATATATTTTTTCTTTATTTGTATCTATGTATAATTATATGCATTATCGAAGGTATCTGCGATTCGTATGCCATTTCTAATTGTAGGACAAGTGGGTTTTTTTTGTACATTTTTTCCCCATATTTTTGAGCTTTGTTTTATTACGTAGTCTTATGTATAAGCAATTCTATTTCAAATAAAAATTTCTTTGTTGTAAGTATACCCAGCGGAGATGAGAACAAAATATTTAACAAGTTGTCAACTATCTTCTATTTCTTTATTGATATGTATGATTTTATCTGAGAAACTAAATTTTATATTTGTCAAATAAAGTTTGTCTCGCTTTTGTTAGAAATATTTTAAGTACCCGCTATTTAATAATTTTGATTACTTTTTTTTGCACGAAAAATGTCCGATACAGCAAAAAGTTGATACACTGCCAAACAAGTTCCTAGCTAGCAATATTTCGATGAGTTTCTCCAAACTTACAGAAACTCTAGAAAATCGTTTTTCTTAATGACGTGTAGGTTTATAAAGTGAAAAACAAAACATAATGTACAAATAACAGTGATTATTTCAAAATATTTTATTTTAGAAGATAAAACCATGACGAATCTAATGAATGTGCCAAGCGCAGTGATCTCATACTTGACCCTGTAAATATCCTACAAAATACGATGATCTGTACTAGCAAATATTTCCATTTATTTTATTTTCTCTTGCTAAATTGAGTCGAAAAAAAATTGTACAAAAATTTTGTATCATAAACTATCGACATTCATATATCGAACTACTGGAATACTGATTTTTTTACTACTTGTACATTTTTTTTTGTATAAAAGATAAACATTTAATGATGTTGCATCTGTGTAATCAAACATGTATTCGTTCCATATCATAGAAAATTTATTTTACCTTTGCGCGCGCATTACCATCACACATTTTCTTACAAATAACGCACTGTATATAATTGACGTGAAAGACAAAATAAATTTTCTATTAAAAAAAGATTACACTACCAGCTACAAATTATTTGCACAAAACAATCATTAGTGCGTTAATTTGCGGATTAAACACTTTCCATAATTTTACTATACACCAAAATTCATCTTTTTTGGCAATCTAAATTTCTAAATGCCTCTTAAAATATCGTCGAATGTTATAAATTCATCTATATTTTTATTAAAATGTATTTAATAGAATTCATAACCATTTTATGAAAAGACTCAAGTATTACTTAAAATGCAATTCTGAGGTGTGGAAATCTATTTTACTAATAATCGAATACAACAATATAATTAATTTACAATACTTTGATGTTTAAGTATTTTCACACAAAGAAAAATACAAATGCATAAGTGTGTTAAAGTTGTTGAATGTAAGTTCGTAATTTTTATTTTTACTCTTTACCAAGAGTTAGTTCAGCTTGTTTTCTTATTTGCGAAAAATAGTGTAAACGTGTATTTTTTACTCTCAGTAGTTGCTTTCTTATGCTGGGCTTTTTCAATTTTTTAAATTTTTTTATTAAGTTTGTTTCGAGGTCCATCCCAGTAGCATATTTTCTAGTCAATTTATACATATTACATTCTTATTGAACGAAAACAAGTCATGTACACCTTTTCTTCAACAATTTGAAGGTTCATTACTTTGTAATTTGCATTTACAAAAACATGATTCATTCATGTAGACTAATTGAATTGCAAAAGATTCTCTAAAAGTCTATGATTGAAATCACAAAATTTTTAAGTATTAATCATTATAACAAATTTTTTTATCAAGTAAAAGCGCGATTTTTTGTACTATAGAAATCGCCAAATGAAACATTTTAAAATTATTTTATCAATACATTTATTATAATGATATTGTAATATTTGAAGTATTATTTGAAAAAAAAAGATTTTTAATTTATATGAAAAATACTTGTATAATTTTTGGGTTTTATATTCCTGACAAAAAATTGTAAACATAGCAAGTTGCATGTCTCTGTATTTGTTATTCAAATCAACTATGTTTTCTAAGTGTGCATTTTAATTATTGTATGAAAATTTTCGGTCACGATTGAATATAAAAGAAAAATTTGATTTTACACATTGTCACTCCTTATTGGCACCAATTTCAAAAATGTTGTAGACTTTTATCATTCTCGTTAAATTCACTATATAGTTTAACGCGACTTTTATACAAATGTGATACTATACAACAACTCTAAATTTTTTCGTTTAATAATTGAGTTGATCACAAGCAAGTTTTGCTTTTCACTCGGTCGTTTGTATGCTTTTATTGGAAAAAAGTGTATTTTTTAACTTGATGATTTAGACATATCTTGTATAATGAGATAGTGCAGTACATTCTAAAGATGTACAAATCATAGATGATTATTCAAAAAAATTTAGAGAGTGAAGTCACCTGTGTAAGTTAATTGTAATTATTTGATGCGCTCTTCATGACTTGTAGGTACAACATTCTTGTACATGTCTTCAAAAATCTGTTGTCCTACACATTAATGTACCATCAGTAAATTGTCAATTTGTGTTCTTAATTATCTAAATAATTTTTCTGATTGTCAACGTCCAAATAACGGTACCGCTACTTGCGAACTTTGACAAATTTTGTTTTAAAAAAATTTGGGATTTGAGTAATAATTATTCTCGAGAATGCTTTCATAAAATTTGAAATCTTTTCACGTTGCATCACATGAAAAATCATAAATTAGTTTTAAACCAATAGGCTGATTATTTTAGGATATAATAGGTCTTTTTATCATTGTTAAATTATTTAATATACTTGTGAGAAACTTGTACAAAAATTAGTTTAAGGTAAGTTGTAAACCTGTCTCGAAATGGACGCCCAGAGAGCTGCGTGATATTAGAAATAGGCTTTAATTCTTTAAATTAAGTATATTTTATATTTTAAGTTTTGTAACCCAATGATCAGCGTAGAACTGTTCATTTTACGTAAAAATGCGTAAAATAAAGATAAAAAGGGCGATCTGATTTTTTTAAATATTTCTGTATTCGTAAATGGACGATATTTAACATTTTAAATTCTTTGAGTGTAACATTGATATGATTTCAGCATGTTTTTATACATGCAATATAGACTCTGGTCCGGGATGTATTCCATTTTTTAATTTAGGCATTAGTATGGATCTTGATTTTCATTATAAATTAATATCTACTTTTGTTTCATCCAAAAAACAATATTCATTGCCTTTCTTCGAATTTGTACATACAAGTGCGTTTGATAGATTTAAAAAATGAATATAAGTTTTACCAGCCAAAGTACTATTTAACTTGGCGCAATTAATACAATTTTGTACGACCAAGTTTAAAATTGACAAAATTCGTATTTAAAAAAAATCATGTATACTCGTACTAAACTAGTCAATAATACAAAAAAAAAAAAAAATGTTTCAACACGCTTTACATAATTATAAAAATTGAATAAAATGTCTGTACACATAATCTTATTTAAAAAAAAAAATTTCCATAAGTATAATTTTTAAAATTATGGTTCGAGACTAGATAATTAGTTAATATAGTAAAAATGTTAAACAGTCTGACATAAGTACGACTGCACGTCCTTGTATTAAATTTTTACGTGTGAAGATTACACCTCGAAATCTTCTTTTGAATCATGCAGTTTACGTGGTAAGCATGACCACAAGAAAAAAGAGCTATACCGCTGTTGCCTAACAAAACCGGCGTTTGCAACAATAGTGTACAACAAGGACACGTTGATGTGATTTTTTTGTAGCGCATACCCCAGTGATGAGGACCCGAGCCAAAGAGCTCTTTGTTCACTAGTTCTTCCAAATCATTTTCTGTGGCCTTTATCACTTCTTGTAGGACCTTGAAAAGAAAAAATGTTACGTTTGATTAGTAAAAGCTCTTGTTTATTAAATATATTAAAGTACCTCGTGGTAGGTCACTTTGAAAGAAACTTACATTAGGAGAGCACACAGAATTTTGTTCGACGCTAGATCGATCAAGCTCAACTGCACGGTCTATCCCATGATGATGTAATATCGAGGAAAATATAATTGACTGGTATATGCTGTAAAATATAATTTTGTAAGAAAAATCTGAAAAAATTCAAACTTATTTATTTCTATGAGCGTTTTACCTTTTGTCGAAGGATATATGGGGCAAATTCCTATTGACCTTGGAAAGAAATGTCAGAGCTTCTTTAGGTCCTTTTTTTTTAATAATCAAATGTGTGATACCGTGCCAATCAATGAAAAATTCCTTTGATGAAATTTCATCGTTGCAGTAATATTTATTGCAATTCACACAACGACCGTTTCGTATGTTGTCGAAACAGTTGGCAACTATTTTCCACTGCTGCTCGTCCAACGCAGGTAAGATAATAGCTAACACATGATTATCTCTAATTTGAAGGCACTGCTTTAATAAGGAATTTGGCAATTTTTGTTTTGCGTATCCTCGAAGTGGCAAGTAATCTCTCCACAGGCAAGATATTTGGTTGCATATTTGTAAACATAAATCGTCACGCTCGTTTAAATTAAATTTTAACAAAAGAACTTTTGCCAAATCAAAAAACTTTGGTTCAATGAATTTGTCAATCTTTGAACCGAATACCGGATAAGGAAAACCACAGTAACATTTGATGTACTTGAAAGAATTGACGTCGACAATAATTTTGACTAGCTGTTTCAGTACTTCGTAATTTTCCATTTTATGAATCAATTCGATTGATAAATTTTCTAATAGAGTACTGTAATAGTGCAGCTCAGCCGAGCGGATAACTTCGAATAAGTAAGTTTGCAATTCGCGCGATACTTCGTATTTTTCTTTGATACAAACTAGACTTTCCATCACAAATTTTATAACTTCCCTTAATTGCTCTTCAGTCATATCAGGTTCCAGTTGTGAATACATAGACACACTTAATGACTCCAAGTCAGATTGTATGTTGAATATAGTTGTTTGCAAAGAAGACATTTCATTTGATTTAGAGTCTTTTGATTTTTCGTTAAATTCACTATTTTCACTACCGTTTGCCTTCGCGTGTAGTATGCGATTATGTTTTTCCGCCTCGGATGTGTCATTTAGATCCAATGTAATCATCAAATCATCTAGTTCATGCATGCGTTGAATGTCTTTTGCATTGAGTTCTTTTTCGGTTGTAGGAGTAAAACCATTAGAACTTTTATTGACACTATTCACAACAATAATACCAGATTCTAATTTCACTGCATGAGTATTATCATGAGAATTGATTCTTGAAATAACAGGTAAAAGAACCTTTGGTAAGTCTATGTCCTGTTCACTGTTAATATCACAAAATTCCTCAGGAGCAGAAAGAACGAGTTGCGGTTTGAGTATGTGGCAACATTCTAAACACTCCTTGTATAATTTCTTTTCATAAAGTTGTAAAATTAAGGAATCAACGGATGTGAGAGAAAGACAGTTGAAGACCCCAGAAGAGGTCATCAAATAAATTTTGTCATGTGCAATTTGTGCCATTAATATATCTGGATATTCATCATTCCAAAGGACAACTTTGGCATTTTCTGGATCTAGAATATAGAGTCCATTTGACGTGTAAGAAAATAAATACTTGTCACTAATTACAAAAAGTTGAGCAAAATTAATTGATTGTGCTGGCCACAATTGACTTTGGTCGTTTGATTTCAAAGTTTTTTCAATGTGTGGCTTGTACACGGGAATTGGTGCAATGGCCAAGGCATCTTTGAACTGGTGAGTTTTAATGACTTCACCAGCTGTAGTGACCTCCCAAAGTCTTGAGCTTGGACGAGCACAATAAATTTGTGGAAGACCCTCCGTGTGACCATCTCTACAGTCAAAATCTCCACTCAAACTGAACACTTTCTTAACAGTCGAAATTTGCTTTTGTATATTTTCTTCTGTAGCAGGAACTTTGCCAACATTACTGTGTGTTTTTAGAAAACAAGCTCCAAATTCACCATCCCTTGGTTTATTTCCAATTTTTTTGAATTCCTCTTGCACAGTGTCACAAATGTAACATCGGTTTAAAGTCGATATTAATAGTGTAGTATCAGCATAATTCATTTGTACAACTTTTGACTCTAAATTCATCAAGGCATAAGATGGAGATGGGAATACACCATTTATCTGGAATCCAATTTTAATTATGTTCAACTTTTAAAACTGAAATTTTTAAATAGATAATGTACAAGCACAATACCATAAAACAAAATAGAACAAGTACAGACACTTTTCCTGATTCATCTCCAACATAAACTTCTGAACTGCTATCATTCCAGCACAAGCAAGTTACTTTTTCTTTTGTATGCTCATTAGATACAGTAATGAGCTTAAAACTTGGCTTCAAAGACACCAAGCAAACACTTCCTCTGACAGTAGCTAAGGCTATTGTTTTCTCATCAGGTGATATTTGTACTTGAACAACTGCTCCTTCCTAGTAATATGAAATGTCAGTATAAATTTTGTTTTTCATCACAATTCCTACTTATACAAGAATCATACTAACCGATAGTGGAATAAGCTGTTGAAAAACGCAAGGGTCTCTTGTAAACAAATAAATACTTCCACTGGTTGCTCCAAGAACAATATAATTGCTTGAAGTGGCCATACACGTGTACTAATAATAAAATTAAATAAATTGTAAATAACATTCATTCATAATCTCAAAAGTATCTAACCTGCATTTTTTTGGTTGCATTGATGGGTGCATAAAGTGAAGAGTTGATTTCTTGCCATTCTGTTAAAATAAAAGGGATTTCCGGCATATTTCAATATACAGTTACAGGTGCAATAGTTTATTCCTTTCTAACTCAGCTTGTTTACAGAGTGTTGAAGTCCATTGTTACATAGCACCATTTTAAAAATTTTGAAAGATAAAACAATAAACGTTATACTTTGAGTATTACTAATTTATCCATCAGCATTTGAAGTATTACGAATTTTTGTTTCATCTACAAACGTGCAATTTTTCAGAACTGAAGTGACATTTAAGTATCCACTTACTATACCTATTCGCTTTTATATATTATGAGAATGTAATGTGGCGACACAATATGTGGCAAAAGTTGGAAACGTGGGTTGACGCCAGTTAGGCATTTTATGGTAATAAGACATGAAGTGTAAAAGTTATAGAAAATTTAATTACAAGTACTTAGTAAGTGCCTTTTTATCCCATGTAAATCAAAGTGGGTGTTTTCATATTAAAACAGTTGAAAGTATGAAAAACCTGCGGAAGTATGATGTATACTTGGGTCATTCTACGAAAACCGGAATTTTTCCAGGGCCGGAATGGACAAACGCTTCAAATGGATTTATAATTTAATAATTATTTTTTTCGTATTGCCCGTGACCAAAAAAAGCTTAGATTTTTTGGGCCCTGTTGCATCTGCACGAGAAAAATGTGTTTGGCGACTTTCTTACACTATTTTAATAGAATAAGTGCGTTACCGGCTCTTATATACTATCTCATTACGACCGATATTTAACGGCACTGTCAATGATAATGTATGACTTTGTTCTTACATTTATATCATGTACTTACTATATGAATATTTGTACAACCCACTGTCCGAGTCAATAATCCAATTCCGCGCAAAGTTACATGAGATTCCTTAGCGTTACAGGCTTTTAGTTTTTATTTTAGGGGGACAGAAACTTCAAATTTGGTCTGTAGCACTGCAGGAATAAAAAAAATTGCAAAAAATTTCTGCTGCATCCTTGACCTTTGTAGAATATACAAAACGCCCTATCGCCCTATAATTGGAATGCCCAAATTCATTTACCTGCATTTGTGAGAGCATTTTCCGATGAAATGTTATTTACATTTGTCAGATTTTTTGGTTCCGAAACATTAACAGTATCCGAGTCTTGGATAAAATTTTTTTTGATACATCAAAGATGCGTAAAAACGTTGTTGACGTCAATTATTTTACGATCCCACACCGCAGAAAAATTAAAAACTTCGTAAATTGATTCCAGGTGTTGTAAAAACTGCAAATTTACGAGTGAGACGTACGAGCTTTTAACGCTAATTTAGCTTCTTTTTTGCATCTTAAACTATATTAAAGCTATACTTTTTTATGATCTGATGGATGAATTAGTAATGAGCGAAGAATTAAAAAACTATGTTATGCAACTAGCACATTCATTCAGGCACAAGTGTTATTTTAAACAAAAAATCAACACTTGTGCGATAATCACCAGTAACTTTGTAGTATGCATCCATTAAGTACTATAATATTATTTAAGCTGCAAATGTTTCTATTAACATGAAAAAAAAAAATACCTAGATCTTACAAGTGGCGAGAATTAAAATTACTGTTTCTCATGGTTCATGTTGCTTAGTTCAGCGTAGAGTTGATTGAGATGAAAAAAAATTTTAACAATACTAACGAGATTCTCAATGATGGGCTTGATCTTTTTTTTTTTTTTTTTTTTTTTTTTTTTTTTTTTTATCCATGCCACGACCATATCGCTGTTGTAAAGGGCCGATGAATTTTTTTTAAATTTACAGTTTTTGTTTTATTTTACAACTCAAACAAGTTCAATTTTGGCACAACAAAGGCACTTCACTCTAAGGTTTATCCTCAAAACGGATATTCATACAAAACATGCGAAAAACTGATGGGCGAAAAACCATATCCGATCCCTGCCATATACATATATATATATATATACACTAGTGGGGCTAACGCCCCCCTGTGCGCTCCGCGCGGCAACCCCCCACTAACAGATTGAGTAGACAAAATAACGACAT